TTCTTCAAGCCCATCGATTCACACAGCACGGCAAACATTAAACCCCCCTCCCACTCCCCATGGCGAATTCCCAACCTGCACATAAATTAACTCAAGCAGCCTTCGCCCTTAAAGTGTTGCGCTGACTCACGATTCATTTCGGCAACCAAGAGTTACTACTGTGATTTTAAAGGCAACACAAACACAGTCAAAATTGCATGCTTCTGCCATCATCGAACTCGCTCTTTAGCCACCACGTCAACCGTTGCGTCTGCAAATTGAGGAATCCGAGAGTCCATCTCAAGGACTCGAGGTTTATTAAGCGTTTGGACTCGATTCCAATTGGCCAGACGCCTAGAGAGAAGAGGAAACGCCGTGTATCTCGCGAGTCCCCGTGTGCTAGTCAAAACAACAATTCACAAACGGAATTCTCTTTGTTGCCTCCGTCTTAGAGGATACGACGAAACTGCGAGCCAAGCACTCGCTAAGGAAAGTAAGCCATGAGTGAATGCCAAAGGAAGGAATCGCGCTGTGGAAAGACACGTCAACGAAGAAGCAGGCGGCGACGGTGGCAGAGGTGATCGTGGTGGTGGTTGGACGACTCGTCGCTACCTGTTCGCGGTCGAGACAGCGGGCGACGCCGCGGTCTGGATGGTCTGGTTGGTGAGAAATGAGCATCGCTCCAGGGACCAGGTTCGTCTGCAAAACGGAAATCCACATTATGTGACAGGACAGAAGAAGGGGAAGAGGAAGAAGCGATTGTGTTGTGAGTGGCGAAAAAAAAGTTGCAGAAGGTGGCTCTCCTGCCTCCGAATTGGTGATGTCACCTTGAAAGACGAGCCAAATCATCGTCGCTACAGAAGACCCCATCACAATCTCCAAGCTGTAACAAATTACCTGTCTCTAGAATCTAAGACGTTATGCTGCTTGTTGTGGTCCGTGGCTTTTGCGGCGTCATCAAACACAATTTTGACAGGTTTGTTACATCCGAAGAAACGTAGATTCACTATAAAGTTCAATGATGACGATCAAGAAAGATTAGTCCTTCAAACAAGGGAGCGATCGCACCCAGAACCGATCGTATTTAGTACATGAGTGAGATATTAAGGGAGTAATCGAATACAATGTGTCGGATGACAATCCAGCAATCACTTCAAACGGTTAGCTTAGAAATGTGTTTGGATTTAAAGGGGTGGAACAGTAAGGCCAAAGGATTGTTGTAAATCGTGTCTATTCACACCCCTTAACCGGTAGCTCCGCCTCCGACACAGGGTGCCCCTTTTTCGCAGCATTGCGCCAGCCGCGCGAATCCTCAACTCCCCCTCATTCACGCAAATATTTGTCTTGGACTATCCTCACACCTAGGTGCCGATGTTAGCGCATGTATGACTCACACATCCGAGGTATAAATACACACGCACAAACCCCACACACGACACAACGACACCAACGTGGTTGAGCTCTGGTGTAGACGGTTGGTTCCGTGGACCCGGCGTGGTTCAAGACCACAACAGAATCCTGATTTCTGTGCTAGCCAATCAGCCGTGCTCAGGCTGGAGTTCGAGAAGGGAAAAACAACGCTAACAACGCGGGTAAGGTAAAGCTACCGTAGGGAAGGCGTGTCGGATGACGCGAGGGTGCGGCCGGCATCCAGCTGCTTGAGGGCGACGATGAGTCCTGCGGGGACTCGAGACTCAACGGCGCAGGACTGAAGCTGCAGCCACACCTCAGACTGCTGTTCCGCAGAAGCGCCACCTCCCTGTCTGAACCGGTCGTCCGCTCGTCCAACTCCTGCGGTGGAAAGAAACGACACGTTTAGCAACTAGCAGAGGCAACAAGGGTACTGTAGGAGAACCGTTCATAAGATGGCTTTACTCCGCTATACCCGTGTGTGTGTGTGTGTGTGTGTGTCTACAAGGTCGTCCATGCTTAGATTTCCCAGACATCTCAGGGGGAGGAGATTTGCAGGCAGACAGACGCAGCTGTTCATGCGTGTCTGCCCAACAAATGGAGACGAGTCTGAGAGAGAGGGGAGGACGGTGTAGACGTTCGTCGGAAAATTAACACGAGTCACTACGGTGTTAATCGACTGAGGCTGCCGTGGCAACACTTCTAACGTGTCAACTGTCTACGCGATTGCATCTCTTAATGGCCCACACGGGGTTCGAACTAGGCCTGGTCAAGATGCACCGGTCGCAAGCCCAAACTTGGATAAACACATCTGCAGAACATTGAAGTGCGTCTGTAGTGGCTTGAGTTTCAGCACTACCTTACAACCCTCTCGGTAACAGCCCATAACAACCCAGGAAGATTTGAACAAGGGACGACAGAGGACACGTCAAGCCAAGTATATGGATGAGTAAACGGACGACAGACAGTAACCAATGAAAAGAGGATGAGTCATTGTCGCCGTCAGGTCAGTAAACAGGGTTCGCTCAGGCGGGATCGCTGTTACTCCGCTACACGTCTACTGGAAGACTTGGCGCCTAGTTCCAGAGAATGTGCATTGAGCCGTCGATGTGGTTGAGTCACAGAATGGTAACCGCGTACATAGATGTCAAGGCGACGACACGGAAGCCCAACCAGGCCAGCACAAGAGCAAGCAGCCTCCTTGAATATGGCTGCATCGAGTGCCGTGTTGGCTTAGTGCAGGCTCTGTGGGACAGCAACTATACAGTGACTCGTCAACCTCGTTACCAACGTGTCTTGATTTGTCTAAGTCGATCTGGGTATCGGATTGAGGAGACTTTTTTTCCTAAGTAGACACTGTTTTTGCTGAGGTGATCGATGATAAAGTTGTACTCGCAGCCCGTATGCCAGTAACTGTGCTCACTTGGCATTTCGGCCAACGATTAAGCGAGCGTGGTTGGCATTACAAGTAGTCGACTAAGGAACCACACTTTTAACGAGGGGGCAAACAAATGAGGAAATTGAAAAAAAGAAGAGACAGAAGCGGGACTCGAACAGGGGCCACCCGCGAACATTGTCCAGTGTGCCGAGCGTCGGACACCAAGGTTTGCCAGCCTGGTCCTCACACCAGATCACTTTTCAACACATTTTGCGACCCGCCGGGACTCCTGAATAGGTGTCGTCGCTTCAGTCATGTCCAGATTGCGTACTGCGTTTGGCCATGGTAAGTTGATTGACTGAGAACAAGGGGAGTACGCGCATTTGTGCAAGGAAAGCGAGTTAAAGTAACGTCAATCATTAATTGTAATGCTCTGTCAACTAAAGTCGGCGTAAAATAACAGAACACCTCAACTCTGAATGTTCAGTTCTCCAACTGGAACGCATGTGTGGAGATTTTACTCAAATTAATCAAGAAAAATGAGAATCTAATGCCATTTGCGTGTGCTGATGGCTCGCCAGCTATCCCTTGCATCTGATTGGTGTAATATCAAGCGCGATTGACCACGACTTAAGCTAACAAGAAGTGTGCGAGGAAGCGCTAGCGGATTGGAACCCTCGATAAGCACCTTCAACACGATGTTACCGCGAACCCCTGTTGCGGCCACAAATTGGGACGACCATCAACAATGCGATGTTTGGTGCCGTCGGACACGGCAACAACGCCGGCCCCCACTTTGTGGACATCCGGCACGCAGATGGCCGGAGTGGCGGTCACAGGTGCAAAGACGCGGCAAACACAACCAATCGCATCACTGAGATGACGCGCAAACCTGTCATGCACACCATCTGACACATTCGTATCGACCGCGCACTCACTCTATTGGCCAGGGGCTGTCAAGGTCGATCAAGTGAAACTCGCCTTTACGACAAAACGGCTTGTTTAACCTCGGTACCAATAAAGAAAAAAACAGAGGCGTTACCATGGAGAGAGACGGTTTCAGACGAGACAGGCCATTGAAGGAAATCCGTCGACGGAGCGGTTGTCGGTCTTGCTTCGGCGGCTGAATTGACGCAAAAAAGGGGTAATTTAAAACAAGTTTCACTGTGTTTTAGTAAATTTAGGCACTACATCGAAGATTACTTGGCACTAATTGGGAATAAGGTGGAGGTTTATCAGTAGGCGCATTTTCTAGGTGTTATTGGACCACATTTATACAATGGTCGATTATGAAAGGCGCAATTCGTCTCAATATGTCCATATTTCCGTATCAGTGTTGAAGACATCTACACAGAAATTGTTGGGTAGAGATCGGCTAGACCGCTACTCACGTTTCCCTGGGTTAAGTCGACACGTGTACTACGCATTGACGGAATCGCTATTCGCAAGAAACTCATCTTGGACGGCGCCTTCACAGTCCCACCAATTGCAAAACCCAGCCCAGGAATTGATTCGTCACTTGACGCGGTTACAAGTCGGTGGGTCCCACTTGGGAGATTTAGTGTCCACGACCTGGTTCACACATGACACGGGCTTCAACAGCTGCTGCAGCTGATTGTCGAGGCACGATTTTTGCAATAAGTTCACGTTTCACGCGAATCTGGCAAGTCGAAAGCGGTGGTGGTGGCAGCGGTGGTGTTGGCAACGGTGGCGGTGCTAGCGATGGTGGTGGCGGTGTTAGTGATGGTGGTGGTGACGACGGCGGTGGTGGTGTTGGTGGTGGCAACGGTGGCGGTGGTGTTGGCAGCGGTTGCGGTGGCAGTGTTGGTGGTGGTGGTGGTAACCAACCTTCGCACACTTGTACACCACAGGCGTGCCCTGGGCGCGGAGTCGTTCCTCGCGGATTTGCGTGACTAGACGATGCTTTTGCAGACGCAGGTTGAAGTCGCCTACCTCCGCGCGCGGTTCCCGGCGCCTCGCGGGGAGGCGCGCGTCGGGTGGTTGGTTGTTGATGTTGGTGGTCCACTGCTGGAGTGACACGCGATCGGCCGAGCAGCATTGTGGACTTCGGCCGCTCAAGCACTGCTTCTGGGGGCTTTGAGACTCGACGCTCGGGCAGGTGTGATTCACCGGCGCCTTGCAAAACAAAGCATTAACAAGTGCACATGCATAGAGTCTTTACAGAGACACCTTACGCCCCCCAATCACAACACAAGCTGGAGGTGCTCGTGACAAGTGAGTTGTTGTATGATCCACCAACCTTAGAGAGAGAGAGTATTTCGGTGTAGTTAGCGCATCACGCGATCACAACGCCACTGAGACAGACATGAATGCGACAGCACCACACTGAAGGTAAACAGTTTGGTGCGCGTCGGGACGATTTTAGGCACGGTGTTTAGCTGAAATTGACGTGAACTTAAACACACACACCGTCGGGAATCGGCGATGCTTACGTGGCAGCAATGAGGGGCTGGAGAGCAGGCACCGTGAGGGGGCCTGGGGAGCCGCGCCGGTGACTCCAGGCAGGCGGGCGATCTTGCGCTTTCGCCGTGGCAACAGCACACCGTCTCCGTTGTGGCCTTGAAGGGGCGCAGTCGGACGCCGTCCTGGGCCACGAGTCGCCACGTCCGCCTGCACCTGCACCTGCTCCGGCCCCGCCTCGTCCTCCTTTGCGCCTCCAGCGCGGACGTCTCCGCCAGGCGAGACGTCTCCAGCTGGCACGGGTCGAACACGCAGCGCAGGTCCAGATCCGTGGCCGCGTTGAACTGACAGCCTTTGTTGCAGGTCTCCGCAGCTAGGAGCACAGAACAGCGCCTTCACACAGTCAGGTTGCTGTGAGTGTTACACGACAGGCTTAAGTAAAGACGTGTGACAGCGGTCTGATATATTTAGAAAAAAGATAACATCTGTGTAAGTAGGAGCTTGCTCTGGCACTGAAATAGCCACAAACGCGTAGGTACCATCCGATTTCATGAACTAGCTAGTCCAGCTGCTCTCCTTTCTACGATTTCAATACGCGCATCACTGGTACTCGTTCCACAACGGTTTCAGAGAACGCGGTAATCTGGGACAGCTGTTGGGGTGAGGTTAATCACAACGATCCGCGCCGACAGAGAACCTCGGCCGCGGACACTCGCACACAACCCCTCTGGCGCCGTGTTCTGAGTCATTGGAGGAAGTTGGTGAGAAAAATAAAAGCATTCCAGAGGTCGATGGCGCCATGTGTGGACCAGCGGCACCAATTAAGCCTTGGTTTTCAAGCCAACCCAACGCATTATCCGATTTTGGTGTGCATCTGTTCGCAGGGCAGATCGGGTCAAATCTTGAGAAGCAATGTGATCTTCGACTCCACAAAATCCCGCCCTTGTGTGTTAAGGGTAGAAAAAATTGACATTCAAAGCGTGTATTGGCGTTCAGAAGACGCATAAGCTAACAACTCGAAGTCAAACAGACATGAACCAAACCTGTGCGAGCTAAGTTTCCACACGGGCTGCGTGGCTGGCAGATTAGAGAAACGGACGTTTGCAAACACTGGAACCAGTGCTAGTAGCATCTGGTTTCAAAGATAGCTTGTAGAGCCGGATTCCGTTGGCGTAGTAGACATTCCCAGGTCAAAATTGCAGATCTCTTTGTAATTGGCTCAACTGTGCCTACATAAATGGTCTGTGAGTAGGATCAGTAGCCAATCGGAGATGGGGTTGAGTGAAGGCGCAGACAGTGGGGCCAGCGGCGTGTCAATTAATCTAATCTTCAGCAGTCTAGGCTGATACTTTTTCGATGTCTAGCAAGCCACACACACCCAGACATGCGCCAAGTCACCACAAGCATCAGCGAGCATAAACGCGAGGTGTGGGGGGGGGGAGGGGAGCGAGGAAGAGACGGCCGAAATTACGAAATCCTGCGCGCGACTGCTCGTCGTGTGGCATACGTGAACGCAATTTCGTCCAAATGCACGCACACACCAATAGAGGGAGAGAACACATTACTCCAACACAGAAGCAGTCGCTCAGCTGAACATTAGGACGGATGCTGGAGGGAGGAGAACGCAAAGACGTCCGCGGATTTGGATGAATGCTGGCGTCTTCAAGGCAAACAAAGACGGCGCACCTCGCCAATGGGGGGGGGGCGGTGATTCAGCTCTCGACAGGACCGAAGTAGACATTGGCGAAAACGAGGGCAAAGCAACAGCCTGCCCGCTAAGGCAGACGACGACGCCAACGACGACGACAACGCGAAAACCACAGCAATAAAGCGCACCGCGTCAGCTGATGCGACCTGCTGACCAGGTTGCCGGCTGTCTGCCTGTCGACCTGCGCTGGGGCGTGTGCGACGGGGGGTGGGGGTGGAGGAGGGGGAGGTGGGAGGGCAGATGCGTGATGATAAACGGCTCGTGTGCCGAGGGCGACTGGAATGAGGAGCAGCCGTCACGAGGCCGAACACTCGTTCGTTTTAGATACATGATTTAAAAACCGGGTAGTCGATTGGGTAATTTAACACGTAATCAATTGAAAAAAAAACCTATCTGAAGGCACGTTGAAAGCAGCTTCGATTGCACATACGCAGAACGTTGCTGAATCAGCGTGTCTTTATGAAATGAGAGGGAATAATCCGCAACTGCAGATCTCCCAGCAAAGCGAGCCCGTCATGTATGACGTTGAGCTAAACTGTCTACTGATAACTAAATAGTAGGCAGGATATTAGAAACGAGCCCCCAAGGGACTTACGAGGGGAGACAACTTTCTGGCTCGCAACGAGGCCTGGGTGAGGGCAGCGAGGTTGCCAGAGCCGGGACAGGCGGTGAGCCAGTGCGCCGGCACCTGTCAAGCGGGGTGTAGTGGTTGGCTGCACGCCACTTGGTTGAGTTGCGAAGAGCGCAGATGCGGTCTCCGGGCGACCAGACGAAGAACATTTCGTGCAACCGAAACAACGACGTTTTCAGCTGGCAGTGCAGGCGACTCACCAGGTGCTTCTCCTCTTGACTGAGCTTGGAGCTGTTTGGCGTGTGGAACGTCAAGAGAAGCTGAGCTGTGTCCTGCAGAGACACCAAAAGTCAATTAAATACGCACACACACACACGGTAGTTGAGGCGAATCAAAAGTGTCACGACGCTGACCTTAATGGTTCGGATCAACTCCACGACCCTCTCCGTGGCGAGGAGGTCTCTAGTGAGTTTGCCGCGGAAATGCGCCGAAAGACGAATGAAGCCACGACGCACGACTGGATTGTAGGCCTGCAACGACCCACGGGAACACGTTTTAAAAGAAACTCACATTTGACAACCGTAAGACACTACGATTATCATTTACTCGCTTGTATTTAAATTCAACTCTTGTTTTCAAGATCGCTAATCACGGATTAGTGATGAATTTAAGAGCACTGATTTCTCATACTACTAATTTCATTTTAAGTACAACATTGATGCACCAATGGGAGGCGTACCAAGAAATCGATTCACGTCTTTCTTACTAAACACAACAACCAATGACAAGGCACGAAAGTGGCACGGTATTTGACGAAATTCGCACACAGGGCTTTGCCTCTATCAGGCCTGTTGAACCAGCTTTGTGCTATTGGTTAAATGGGCACATCAAAGGCCTGACCTTGAGTTGGTCCAATCAGCAAAAAGGCGTATTCTCATTTGCCTCGAATGAGTTCAACCAGTAAAATTACCTCGCCAACTCTTCACCTGATCTCTAGCTTACCCGTGTAGGCTTAAACTCAGGACTACTGTTAATGCATTTGAGTAGCATCGACCAGACCAAATCTAATTGATGGTGATTTTGAGTTATGAAGTGAAGCAAATTTATCATACAGCACAAAAGGACAATTACGAGTAAAATCAATATCAAATAGGAGGTGCTGATAGATTCACGTACGAGCAGATCCCGCTTGGCTTTCGAGAGAGGACACGTGGACGTTCGGCAGGGGCAATTGTGACAACGCGGACATGGAGATTCGAAGTTCTAGGTGAAGCGAAAAGAGACGAGGAGGACTGAAGGATGTTTGTTCAATTTTAAGTGCCTCACCAATTGGGGTGATTGGATGCTAGCGCGTGCGAAATAAAATTTAGCCCACAATGATAACCTTGATGTGGCAAATAACACAGGAAATACTTTCTACTGACTAATTTCTAGTAGTTTGTTTTTTTGTGGTTTGCTAAGTTGGTCTGTCAAAGGCGGGAAGTGCTTACAATTGCAATATTTCGGGTAAAATTGCTGCTGGAGCAATTAGAATTGGACGAAAACGTGCCACAAAGTCGCAATATCGAAGTTTGTTTGACTAAATCCGACTTCGGTAGGAATAATAAAGCAGAGAACCAAAGGATGCGCAGTGTAGCCCATGTTTAAAACCGGACCAATGCATTGTTGTTTTAAGACGCATTTCCGTAAAAGCAATTTCAGAGTGTCTCAGCTTCGTGCCGCCTACGGTTTAGTGAGGCAATTAGCCCATTTACCCTATTTCTGACAGTCTCAATTTGCGATTGGACGTCGGAGTTAAAATCCAATCAGAGCTAATTGCGCGGTGCGATGCCATTGGTCGTTTGTGAGGAGCTGTGTTAATTCACGCTGAACATCTCTGCCTACGCCTGTTGGGACACGATCGGTGGCTACATCGACCCCTCCCACCATGTCTCAGAC